TTGAGAAGTTGAAGAATTGAAAAAATGAAGAAAAACTGAAAAAACCGAAAAAATGAGAAACAAAAATTGAAAAATGAAACTTGATATGTCGAAAAATTTTAAAATTGAAAAATAGAAAAATTGTAACGCAGAAATGTGTAAACCCTGATTAATTAAAAATCGACAAAGTGAAAAATTGGAAAAACGAAAAACAAAAACTTCTATAAATTAAATACTCAAAAATACAAAATAAATTAATTTCAAAATCCAAAAATTTTAAAATGAAAACCAGAAAACTAAAAAATTAAGAAATTGTAAAACGAAACATGGAAAAATTAAAAAATTGTAACATCGAAAAAACGAAACACTGAAAAATCGGATATTGGAAAAGCCAAGAATTGTACAATTGAACAATAAAAACCCTAATAATTGTTTGAAAAAAGTGAAAAATTAAAAATTAGCAGGTTTAAAAATGGAACGATTACGAAACTGTAAATTTGAAAAAAAAAATTAAAAATGGAAAAATCACGACCTGGAAAAATTAAAGAAATGAAAAATTGAAAACCTAAACTTGAAATATCGAAAAATGGGAAAAATTGGTAACGAAAAAACAATTAAAAAATGTAACAACAGAGAAAAAGATAGAAACTGTAAAATCGAAAATTTGTAACATTGGAATCTGAAAAAGTGATAAATTAAAAATCGATGAATTGAAAATCAAAAAAAAACAAAAATTGTAACATTCAACCACTGCCGCCATTCAACAGATAGAAAATCAATAACTTAAAATATCTAGAAATTAAAAAATCGAAAAATACAAAAATTTTACTGAAAAATAAAAATCATAATGAAAATCGAAAAACTAAAAACTCGAGAAATCGAAAAATGTAAAAACGAAACACGGAAAAATTGAAAAATTAACAATTAACAAAAGCAAAAATTTAAATGTCTCGAATTGAGAAAATAAAAAATCGAAGAAACGAAACAACTTGGAAGTACATAGTTTATTTTTAATTTTTCATTTTCTCAATTTTTCGTTTTTTTAATTATTAGAAGTGAAATTTTAAAAAATCAAAAAATCAGAAACTTTTAACACTGAAACATCGAAAAATTGTAAAACTAAAAAATTGAAAATCAATAAATTAAAAAGTGAAAAACCGAAAAAGAAACATTGAAAAACCGAACAGTTTAAAAATTGAGAAATCGAGGAACCGCAAAAATAAAGAAACTCAAAATCGAATAATTAAGAGGTCAATTGGAAAAAGAAAAATTGTAACCTTAAAAATGAAAAAACTGAAAATTTAAAAAACAGAAAAATCTAACAATGTCAAAATTGAAAATCAAAAATAGAAAAAACGAAACTTGAAAACCGAGAAATTTAAAAATTGTAATCTTAAAACTTGAGAAACTGAAAACTTCGATAATTGAAAAAACAACTGAAAATTTGAAAAATTGAAAAAAAAACTAAAGTCGAAAAAATACGGAAATCAAAATTTTCTAGAAATAGAAAAATCGACAAATTGTAAAATTCAAAAGTTGAAGAATCGAAAAATTAAAATATCGAGACACTAAAAAATCGAAAAATACAAAAAATTTAAATTGAAAAATCCAAAAATGTCAAAATAAACGATGTTGAAAAAATAGCGAAATAGCGGATAACGAAAAAATCAACAATTGAAAAATCAAAAAATAAAAATATGTTAAAATGGAAAAATCAAAAAAACGAGAAACTATCAAGTCTAAAAATTATAACATTGAAACCTGAAAAAACTGACGAAATGAAAATCGAGAAACTGAAAAATCGACAACAAAAAATTAAAATGCAAGAACTCACAAAATAAAAATCGAAACACTGATAAATCCTAAAACCGAAAAGCTAAAAATCTTAAAAACCTCAAAAATCGATGCTCAGACCACACAGATGAAAGCAATAATATTCGACTTTGGGCCAGTTTGAATTTAGCGCCGATGTACTTTGTTGTGATTGGTCGGCACGGGTGCGGAAATTAATGTATGCTTATTTCTATACCTGTGGTTTATGAACCGCTTTGATTTTTACTTTGGATATGTACAAAAAAAAAATCAAAATTTATGATGACATTATACAATTTAGATTATTTGTTTATCGTTTTCAAAAACTTGGATGACATCATCTCAAAATTTTGCTTAAAAACATATAAAGAGTAAACTTGTGGTTTATCAAAGACCACCTGTATTTTATTTCTGAATCTTATTGTTTTTTATTTGTTTTTTATTAAACATTTTCCACATTCAGAGTTGATTGTTTCTGATTTTTTTTATAAAACAACGTAGAAGTAGTATATTTCTATACCTGCGGTTTATGAACTCGCCTTGATTTTTACTTTGGAAATGTACAAAAAAAATCACAATTTATGATGACATTTTACAATTTAGATTGTTTATCATTTTCAAATACTTGGATGACATCATCTCAAAATTTTGTTTAAAAAGATATCAAGAGTAGTAAACTTGTGGTTTATCAAAGGCCACCTGTAGTTCTCCGATTTTACAATTTTTCGGACTTTAAAACTTTTAGTTTTTTTATTTTTCAATTTCGTGTTTTTTTATTTTTCAGCAAAAGAACAAATTTATCGAAACTAAAATATTGGAAAATCGGAAAATTGTCTCATTGAAACAACTAAGAATAAAAAAATTTTAAAATGAAAAATCCGTGAAAATCGAAAAAGTAAAAAATCCAGACACCGAAAAATTGTAAAAACATGGAACAATTAAAAATAAAACTGCAAAATCGAGTAATTGAAAAATTGGAAAAACGAAAAAATAAAAATTCCGAAATTAAAACATCAAAAAATCGAAAAACGAAACAATTTTGCAATTTTTTGATATAAAATTTTTCAAATTCTCGATTTTCCATTTTTTAATTGCTCAACAAAAGGACGAATTTATTCAAACCGAAATTTTGAAAAATTTAAAAACCAGAAAATTTAAAAATTGAGAAGTTGAAGAATTGAAAAAATATAGAAAAACTGAAAAAAACCGAAAAAATGAGAATCGAAAATTGAAAAATGAAACTTGATATGTCGAAAAATTGTGAAATTGAAAAAACAAAAATTGTAATATAGAAATCTGTAAACCCTGATTAATTAAAAATCGAGAAAGTGAAAAATTGGGAAAACGAAAAACAAAAACTTCTATAAATTAAAAAATCAAAAATACAAAAAAAAATAATTTCAAAATCCAAAAATTTTAAAATGAAAACCGGAAAACTAAAAATTAAGAAATTGTAAAACGAAACATGGAAAATTAAAAAATTGGAACATCAAAAAAAAAAACACTGAAAAATCGGATAATCGAAAAGCCAAGAATTGTACAATTGAATAATAAAAACCTTAATAATTATTTGAAAGAAGTGAAAAATTAAAAATTGGCAAATTTAAAAATGAAACGATTACAAAACTGTAAATTTGAAAAAAAAAATGAAAAATGGAAAAATCACGACCTGGAAAAATTGAAAAAATTGGCAAACTGAAAACTGGGTAACGAAAAAGCAATTTAAAAAAATGCAACAACAGAGGAAAAGATAGAAACTGTAAAATCGAAAATTTGGAACATTGAAACCTGAAAAAGTGATAAATTAAAAATCGATGAATTGAAAAAATCGAAAAAACCAAAAATTGTAACATTCAACAGATACAAAATCAAAAAATTAAAATATCTACAAATAAAAAAATCGAAAAATACAAAAATGTTACTGAAAAATAAAAATCATAATGAAAATCAAAAAACTAAAAATTCGAGTACTTTGTTTTTAATTTTTCATTTTCTCAATTTTTCGTTTTTTAATTTTTCAACAAAAGGACAAACTTATTAGAAATGAAATTTAAAAAAATCAAAAAATCGGAAACTGTTATCACTGAAACATCGAAAAATTGTAAAACTAAAAAACTGAAAATCAAAAATAGAAAAACCGAAACTTGAAAACCGAGAAATTTAAAAATTGTAATCTTAAAACTTGAGAAACTGAAAACTTCGATAATTGAAAAAACAACTGAAAATTTGAAAAATTGAAAAAAAAAGAAACTAAAACCGAACGACTGATTAACGAAAAATCCAGAAATAGAAAAATACGGAAAACAAAATTTTCTAGAAATTGAAAAATCGACAAATTGTAAATTTCAAAAGTTGAAGAATCGAAAACTTAAAATATCTAGACACTAAAAAATCGAAAAATACAAAAAATTTTAATTGAAAAATCCAAAAATGTCAAAATAAACATTGAAAAACTGTAAAATTAACAAATCGAAAACTGAAAAATTGAAAAAAAATGAAACGTTGAACAATAAAAAAAAGCTAAGAATCTTAAAAACCTCAAATATCGACGCGAATTAAAAAAAATGCTCAGACCACACAGATGAAAGCAATAATATTGGACTTTGGGCCAGTTTGAATTTAGCGCCGATGTACTTTGTTGTGATTGGTCGGCACGGGTGCGGAAATTAAGGTATGCTTATTTCTATACCTGTGGTTTATGAAGTCGCCTTGATTTTTACTTTGGACATGTACAAAAAAAAAAACAAAATTTATGATGACATTACAATTTAGATTATTTGTTTATCGTTTTCAAAAACTTGTACGACATCATCTCAAAATTTTGCTTAAAAAAATATCAAGAGTAAACTTGTGGTTTATCAAAGACCACCTGTATTTTATTTCTCAATTTAGAATGCCTGTTTATCCTCTCCAAAAACTTATTATCTCAAAATTTTGCTTGATCCTATCTATACGTACTTATACTGGAATAAGTTAACTACATATAATAAGCACCCATTTCTCGGCAAGGTCGCAGCTCTTCTCCACTATAAATATTTTAACAAGCGCTGCATTACAAGTTGCAACATCCATTCTATGACACTTGCGAAATTGCATACTTCAACGACCGGAAACACTTGATTCTTGCGATCATCTCCCGGAACGATTATTTCATAAAAATCACTTCCTTCTTTGACACGATTTTAATATCTTTTCATCTTATTTTACAGGCAACGCTGTACTCTGCGGCCGACTATGCTACGAACTCCTGAAGTGCTGCAACAGCCGCCTTTCGTCAGTCCGACAAGAATCCTGCGCCATCTTATACCTTCTAATGCGAAGCAACTTCGAATTCACCAACCGGAAGGGCCTAACGAGGGTGCACCTACAAGTCATTATATCGGTGTCCCAGATGCTGGGGAATATCGTAGGGCTGAACAACGCTCGTTTCCAGGAGAGTCTGTCCTTGATCAACAGCTACGCTTCTAGCGACAAGGCCATGAAGGGCACAGGTGAGGGAATGTTTTGAGTAAACTTGCATTTTCGTGGTGCGTGTGTTGCGCAGTGTCGAGCGCTAACTAGAAATTAATCAATTTAATCGAGGAAATTGGTAACGTCGACTGCACAGTGGTTCCCAAATATTTTGTTAGTTATGGTCAAACGGTCCTAGGGTGTCGGGGCCTACTCTTTGAGAACTGCTGTACTAACACATTACGGTATCACTTCGAAAATTACACGGTAGTTTGTAGTTTTGAAATAATCCGTAAAAACCATAAATCTCGCTTCACTGGAAACCAAACAATGGAGACACTTTTTCAATTAGGGTTTTGCAGTGAGAACGTCACTTGTGTGTGGAGAATATAGATACGAAATTATTCTCACTGGTTAAGGTAAGAACACAGTATTTGTTGTATTTGTGGCATTAAAAAAATATAAGGTCGCTGGAATATAAGGAAACGGTTAAACATGTGGAAAACCAATTGTCCAAATGAACGTAAATTAGGTACAATGTTATGTTTCCGAGATGCAAGGCCAACTTGATTTTTTTTTAAATGGGTGGAAAAACAACTACTTCGTGATGTGTAGAATTAAAATGAAATGGTAAATTCAAAAGGTGTTCAGCTCTTCTATCCGTTGGGAAAAATTATGTACCAATCTTTTGTGTTAGACCCTGTAGACCAGGTGATAACGATGAATTTTGAATATCTGCGATACAATTTAGAAAAGTAACATTCAACCATTTTAACCGTTCCTCCGAAATATCTAGATAGATATAGTGCTGTCCAGGAATTTAATGTACTAGTTTGTACAGGGTTTCTATAAATGATTAAAGGGTCGAAGTAGATCATGAACATGTGCCGCCTCTCAGTTTTAGGTTTTACTAAATGTCCAAGGACGTACGACAAATACCACACGCATCTGTATAACTGGTTGCCTAAATGCTCTTAAAAAAAAACTAATTCATTACAATAAAAAAATGTACTTAATCTCCAAATTTACAATAGCTGATGTAATTTAAATTTAATATCCTCCGTTTATGGTTTATGAATCCGTGTTCAGTTTTAGTCTTGGAAAAATAATCAACAACATTTTCCTCAATTTTTCAATATTTCAATTTTGGGCTTTTTCAATTTATCCATTCTTCAAATCTTCGATTTCTCGATTTTTTATTTTTTGATTTTTCAATTTTCTGATGTTTTAATGATACAATTTTGACGCTTGTAAATTTTCAGTTTTCCGATTTTGCTTTTTTAGTTTTTCGATTACTCAATTTTCCAATTTTTTAATTTCTCAATTTTTTGGGTATTTCAGTTTTGGGATTTTTCAATATTTCAATTTTTCATGTCTAAAATCTTTTGATTTCTCGGTTTACCAATTTCTCGATTTATCAATTTTTCGATGTTTGACTTTTCTTCTCGACTTTTCACTCCTGGATTTCTCGATCCTCTGATTTTTCGATTTCTCGATGTCTTATTTTAAAAATTTTTTGATGTTTCGATTCTTGGATTTCTCGCTTTTTCGATTTTGTATTTCTGGGCTTTTCATTTTTTCGATTTTCCAATTTTTCAGTGATGAGATTTTTCAATTTTTCAATATTTTTAAATCCTGGAGTTTCCATCTCTCGATTTGTCGATTTTTCCGTTTAGTGATTTTTAAATTTTAGATTTTCGAATTTTTATCTTTTGATTTTTCTATTTTGCGATATTTTAATCGTTGTAAATTTTAGATTTTTCAATTCCTCAATTTTTTGATTTTTCAGTTCTTCAGGATTTCTATTTTTCACTTTTTCAAATTTTGTTGAAACGTTGCTAAATTGTCAGATTTCCGATTTCTCAATTGATCTATTTTTGATTTTCCGGTTTTTCGACTTCTCAAAGTTTCGATTTTTCAGTTCTTTAATTCTTCGATTGTTCGTTTTTTCGACTTTGGTTTTTCGATTTCTCAATTTTTTAATTTCTCAATTTTTGAATATTTCTTTCAGTTTGGGGATTTTTCAATATTTCGATTCTTCGACGTCTCGATTTTTCGACTTCTGAATTTTTGGATTTTTTATTTTCTGGATTTTCAGTTTCTCCTTTTTTAAACTTTCGGTTTTTCAATTTTTCGATTGCTTTACATTTCGATTTTTCAATTTTTCAACTTTTTGATATTTTAATTTTTCAATTTTTAAAATTCTAGATTTTTCGATTTCTCGCGTTTTCAGTTCTTCTGTATTTTAATTCTTCAATTTTCAGAAGTTTTAATTTTTCAATTTTTCGACTTGTCGGTTTTTCGATTTTTTTCTTTTCGGCTTTTCGATTTTTCGATGTTTCAATTTTTGAATTATCTGATTTCTCAATTTTCCAATTTTTTGAATTTTCGACATTCGATTTCTAGATTTGTTTTTCGATTTTTAAATTTTAGATTTAAGGATTTTTCTTTTTTTGATTTTTTTTTTTTTGGAGTTCTCCGTTTTTCAATTTTATGACATTCTAATTTTTCAATGTTTTGATTTCTCGATTTATCAATTTTTCAATGTTTGACTTTTCTTCTCGACTTTCCACTCCTCGATTTCTCGATCCTCTGATTTTTCGTTTTCTCGATGTCTTATTTTTAAAAATTTTCGATGTTTCGATTCTTGGATTTCTCGCTTTTTCGATTTTGTATTTCTGGGCTTTTCATTTTTTCGATTTTCCAATTTTTCAGTGATGGGATTTTTCAATTTTTCAATATTTTTAAATCCTGGAGTTTCCATCTCTCGATTTGTCGATTTTTCCGTTTAGTGATTTTTAAATTTTAGATTTTCGAATTTTTATCTTTTGATTTTTTGATGTTTGGATTTCTCGATTTTTCTATTTTGCGATATTTTAATCGTTCTAAATTTTAGATTTTTCACTTTTTCAAATTTTGTTGAAACGTTGCTAAATTGTCAGTTTTTTTATTTTCCCGTTTTTCGACTTCTCAAAGTTTCGATTTTTCAGTTCTTTAATTCTTCGATTGTTCGTTTTTTCGACTTTGGATTTTTGGTTTTTCGATTTCTCAATTTTTTAATTTCTCAATTTTTGAATATTTCTTTCAGGTTGGGGATTTTTCAGTATTTCGATTCTTCGACGTCTCGATTTTTCGACTTCTGAATTTTTCGATTTTTTTTTTTTTAGTTTCTCGTTTTTTAAACTTTCGATTTTTCAATTTTTCGATTGCTTTACATTTCGATTTTTCAATTTTTCAACTTTTTGATATTTTAATTTTTCAATTTTTAAAATTCTAGATTTTTCGATTTCTCGCGTTTTCAGTTCTTATATATTTTAATTCTTCAATTTTCAGAAGTTTTAATTTTTCAATTTTTCGATTTGTCGGTTTTTCGATTTTTTCCTTTTCGGCTTTTCGATTTTTCGATGTTTCAATTTTTGAATTATCCGATTTCTCAATTTTCCAATTTTTTGAATTTTCGACATTCGATTTCTAGATTTGTTTTTCGATTTTTTCTTTTTTTGATTTTTTTTGGAGTTCTCCGTTTTTCAATTTTATGACATTCTAATTTTTCAATATTTTAAAATTTAAATTCTTCGATTTTTTAGTTCTTTAATATTTTTAATTTTTCAAATTTTGACGTTTCTGTATTTACAGTTTTCCGATTTCTCGACTTCCCAAAGTTTCGATTTTTTAAGTTTGCGTTTTTTCCACTTTACTTTTTTGAATTTTCGATTTCTCAATGTTCAATTTCCGGATTTTTGGATATTTCGTTCAATTTTGTGATTTTTCAGTTTTTCGATACTTCAATTTTTCTTCTATTTTTCAATTTTTCGATATTTCAGTTTTGGGATTTTTTAGTATTTCGACTTTTCGAGTTCTGGATTTCTTGATGTCTCGACTTCTTACTTTCTGGATTTTCAATTTTTCGTTTTTTAAACTTTCGATTTTTCAGGTTTTCGACTGTTTTGTAGGTAGTTCGATTTCTGAATTTTTCAACTTTCCGATATTTTAAAATGTTAGGGTTTTCGATTTCTCGAGTGTTCAGTTCTTCTGTTTCAATTTTTCAATTGTTATCGGAATTTTTAAATTTTCGATTTTCCAATTTTTCGATGTTTCGATTTTACTTCCCGAGCGTAAGAAAAGGAAGTATTGTAATCGAATCCGTCGGCCGACTCTCTACTTTTGCTTTTTCTCGACCTATCATGACCCCGAGAGGACGAAGCAATAGGTCTCCCGTTTCCGTCTGTCTGCCGTCCCGGATTTTTGTTAGACAGATAATCTCCGAAAGTACTGGGGCGATTGTTGTCAAATTTTGTATTTATATTAGGAATATCATGTATATGATAAAAGGCTAACCAAAATTTGTCTAATCATCCCCACCACTAATGTGATGACGTCACTTCAAAATTGTACATAGTAATTGGGTCTTAGATTGTATCAAATAACATAGTGTTACATGTAGTTTATGACTCCGAATTGAGATTTTAGCCGAAACGTTCAGATTTTTGGAAAAAAAATCAAAATTAGGAAACAACATTTTGACATCTAATTTGGAATCTACAAAACCGAATGCTTTCAAATCTTGCAGATGGTTTACAGTTATGATAAGCATGATCAAATTTTAATCACAATATATTTAGTTATCCCCTCCAAAAAATTGATGACGTCACCCCAAAACTTTGCTGAATAAATCTTATCTAAAATGTACAAAATATGATGAGTCTCTTCTTGTGATTTATCATTCCATTCATATTTTTTTGGATATGCATATACAGGGTGACCCCAAAAAAATAATGAATGCTTACATTTATTTTATTGATTTAATCAGGAACTACAGAACCGAATGCTTTGAGATCTCGCAAATATTTTAGGGTTATGAAGAGGATAATAAATTTTTAGTCAAAATATATTTGCTTATCCCCTCTAAAAAATTGATGACGTCACCTGAAAAGTTTGCCGAATAATCCTATCTAAAATGTACAAAATATGATGAGTCTCTTCTTGTAATTTATCATTCCATTCATAATTTTTGGATTTCCATATACAGGGTGACTCAAAAAATTTAATGAATGCGCAAATTTATTTTATTGATTTAATCATTAACTACAAAACAGAATGCTTTGAAGTCTTGGAAATGTTTTAAATTTATCATAAGCATGGTAAATTTTTGATCAAAATATATTTGCTCATCCCCCCTAAAAAATGGATGACGCTACCCCAAAATTTTGCTGAATAAATCCTATCTAAAATGTACAAAATATGATGAATCTCTTCTTGTAATTTATCATTCCATTCATATTTTTTGGATTTGCATATACAGGGTGAGTCAAAAAATTTAATGAATGCGCAAATTTATTTTATTGATTTAATCAGTAAATACAAAACAGAATGCTTTGAAATCTAATGCGAAAAAAAAACATAATAGGCATGCAGTCGTCACGTTTCCAACAGTGAGGGAAGTACTGTCTAAACTCTTTAGACCAATTTTTTTTAAATGTAAAACCTTCTCAGGGGTCCCAACTGACATTTTGAAATGTAAAACCTTCTCGGGGCGCTAAATGTTTTTTTTTTAAGAATGTGAAACCTTCTCGAAGGCGTCAAATGTTTTTTTTTAAGAATGTGAAACCTTCTCGGGGTACCAACTGTCATTTTTTAAACAAAGCGAAAACACGTTCTCGGGGGCACCAAATGTCTTTTTACTTCCCGAGCGTAAGCAAAGGAAGTATTGTAATCGAGTCCGTCGGCCGACTCTCTACTTTTACGTTTTCTCGATCTTTCATGACCCCTAGAAGACGAAGAAATAGGTCTCCCATTTCCGTCTGTCTGTCCGTCTGTTGTCCCGGATTTTTATTAGACAGATAATCTCCGAAAGTACTCGAACGATTGTTGTGAAATTTTGTACTTATATTAAGAATATCATGTAGATGGTAAAACGCTAACCAAAATTTGTCTAATCATCCCCACCACTAATGCGATGACGTCACTTCAAAATTGTACATAGTAAATGGGTTTTCAATTGTATAAAATAACATAGTCCTACACATGTAGTTTACAACTCTGAATCGACTTTTCACCCGAAACGTCCAGATTTTTGGGAAAAAAATCAAAATTATAAAACAACATTTTGAAATTTAATTTTTAATCTGCTAACCAGAATGCTTTGAAATGTTGCAGATGTTTTAAGGCTATAAAGAGCATCATAAATCTTTAGTCAAAAAATATTTGCTTATCCCCTCCAAAAACTTGATGACGTCAGCTCAAAAGTTTGCGGAATAAATCATATCTAAAATGTACAAAATATGATGAGTCTGTACTTGTGATCTATCACTCCATTCATATTTTTTGGATTTGCATATACAGGGTGGTTCAAAAAAATTAATGAAGTCAATTTATTTTATTGATTAAATTAAAGGCAACACTTATTATTAGTATTACACCCCAACCAACCCAATTTGGTAGACACAAAATTTGTTAACGGAAAAACTCGGTTGAAACATAAGGGTAGCACGCTTATTTACATCGACTTTAACATTACAGACCTGCATTTGTTTTATGCGCTCACTTGGTTCCGCGAATGTGGAATAGACATGTTTATAATCAACCAATTGTGAATTTCACCGTCAAGAATTAAAATAAAACCCAATGTTTTATATAATAAGCGGAAGTCGAAGCAATAAAACCGATGGTCGTTTTGTTTACAGTTTCTCTGTTTGACTCTCACGTATGCTGTTACGCTTGTCATCTTAAATTAAGAATGTTTATACATACACGATTTTCAGTTGCCTCTGATACGTATACGTGAGTAAATTGTTTCGTTATTTTATTGATTATTACAAATCAATATTCAAAACGACCCAATTCATTTTCCCGAAAATTTGAGAATATAATAATTTTATTCTTAGTATTACACTACATCTATCCCAACTGATATACGTGTCCTTGCAAAAATGTTGATGACGTCATCGCAATTTTTTTTTTAAATTCCCACTACAAAAATGTAATGAGAAAAAAAACACAATAGGCATGCAGTCGTCAAGTTTCCGACAGCGAGGGAAGTACTGTCTAAACTCTTTAGACCAATTTTTTAAAAATGTAAAATCTCTGGAGCGCCAAATGTCTTTTTTTTAAGAATGTGAAATCTTCTCGGGGGTCCCAACTGACTTTTTTTAAAATGTGAAACCCTCTCGGGGCGCCATTTTTTTTTATTTTTCAGAATGTGAAACCTTCTCGGGAGTTTCAACTATCTTTTTTAAAAATGTAAAAACTTTTCGGGGGCACCAAATGTTTTTTGTTTAATATGAAACCTTGTCGGGGGTCCCAACTGTCTTTTTTAAAAAAGTAAATTAATCATGCATAACTTGATGAATTTTTTAAATGAACACCCGTTGTATGATTCGTTAACGATCTTCTGACTAGGATCGACCATGAAACTATGTAGTAGTGAATAATAACAATGCATTATGTTCTGGAGTTTGACACATAAATTTTGCAGGTTTCCCGGTGGAAGTCAAAGACCTCACCAAGCGCATCCGCACCGTCCTCATGGCCACCCTCCAGATGCGCGAGCACCACCACGACCCCGAGATGCTCGTCGACCTCCAGCACAGCCTCGCCAACTCGTACGCCTCCACCCCCGAGCTGCGCCACACCTGGCTCGAGACCATGACCAGGAACCACGTCCGCGACGGCAACTACTCCGAAGCCACCTGCTGCCAGCTGCACATCGCCGCCCTCATGGCCGAGTACCTCAAACTCAAGAAGGTGCAACCGTGGGGGGCCGAGGTGTTCGAGAAGATCTCGTCCAACATCTCCCGCGACGAGAAAGGCCTGAAGCTCGACGCCGGCGTCCAGGACATCCAGTACACCGAGATCGTCCTCTTGGAGCAGCTGGAGACGTGCGTGCAGTTCATAGACAAGTCCGAGAGGTACGAGGTCATGGGGGAGTTGTACAGGCTGATCGTGCCGATCTACGAGAAGGCGAGGAACTACGAGATGCTGATGAAGTCGTACCAGAATTTGGCGCAGAACTACGAGAAGATCGTGCAGGCGAATAAGAGCGGGAGGAGGTTGCTGGGGAGGTACTACAGGGTGGGGTTTTACGGGCAGGCGTACTTCGAGGAGGATAGCGGGGTGGAGTATGTGTACAAGGAGCCGAAGGTGACGTCGCTGAGCGAGATCTCGGAGCGGCTGCATAAGCAGTACTGCGACAAGATCGGGCAGGACGTGGTGAGGATGATACAGGATTCGACGCCGGTGAGGGTTTTTACTTGACACTTCAAAAAAAAAAAAACTATTCTTTATCTCCCTCCTAAAAAAAATTATGACGTCATTTCAAAATTTTGCCAAATTTTGCAAATTTTCGATATTACCAATTTTTCGTTTTTACATTTTCATAATTTTTCGTTTTCGTTTCTTCAATGTCTCAAGTTCTTACTTTATAATTTTTCAATTTTTCGATTTTACAATTTTTTGATATCACAATTTTTCGTGTTTTCATGTTCTTAGTTGTTTAACTTTTTCGATTTTTCAGTGTTTCGGATTTATAATTTTTGTTTTTTCAACCTTAATTTTTTTCAATTTTTCGACTTTCAAATTTTTCAGTTTTTTGTTTTTCCATTTTCTTTAATTTTTAAATTTTTTCATTTTTCAATTGTTTAATTTCTCAACTTCCAAATTTTTCAATTTTCCGTTTCTTGAATTTTTCGATTTCAGTTTCCTATTTTTTGATCTTTCGATTTTTAATTTTTCGTTTCTTCAAATTTTCAAGTTCTTTATTTCCAATTTTCAGATTTTTCAGTGTTCATTTTATAGTTTTTCGTTTTTTTTTTTTCATTTTTGTTTTTTGAATTTTACAATTTTTTCACTTTTTTAATTCGAAAAGTTGAAAAACCGAAAGTCGTCAAAATTGTATTATTGAAAATTCGAACAACTGAAAAATTAATATGGAGAAATTAAAAAATTAAAAATCGATACGTAAAAAAATCCTATAACCGGAAAAAATTTTTAATCTTAAAAGTGAAAAATTTTAATAGCAAAACTGAAAAATCGAGAAGATAAAAAATGTAAAATTGAGAAAACAAAAAATTAAAAAATCTAAAATTGGAAAATTGCATATTGATAAAGAGAAAAATTGTAATAAAATCAGAAAAAACGAAAAATTGAAAAAATAAGGAAAATAAAAAACTGAACGAAAAATTGCAAATCGAAAATTTGAAGAAAAGGAAAATTTTCAAAAGTGATACGAAAAAACCTTAATTTACAAAATTTGGAATTTTGAAAAATCGAATAAATGAAAAAATTTTAAAATCCAATATTAATTGAAAAACGAAAAAACTCCAAAATCGTAAAATTGAAAATGTTAAATATTTTATTATTAAAATAATTAATTAATGTTACATATTATTCAAAATGAAAACAAGAAAAATGGAAAATCTAAAAGTTGAAATATGGAAAAATTGCAAATCGAAAAATTATAAAATCATAGCATTGAAAACTCGTTAAATTGCAAATCCAAAAATTACAAAATCTAAAAATTCAAACATGCAAAGGTTGAAAAATTGAAATCTGGAAAATTTTAAAATGAAAACTCAAAGGGTGCAAAACCGTAAAATTGAAGAAACAAAAAAAAATAAAATTTGCAGATATGCAAATCGGAAACTTGAAAAATGAAAAATCAAAAAATGGAGTAAATGGAAAAATTTTAAAATCTAGTTATTAAAAAAACGGAAAAAGTCTAAAATCGTAAAATTCCAAAAGTGAAATATTTTAATAACAATGATTATTTTTACATATTTAAAATGAAAAGAAGAAAAATTGCAAATCAAGAATTGAAGAAACTAAAAGTTAAAAAACCCGAAAGCTGAAAAATCGAAAATTGAAACAGAAAAATTGAAGAAATGGAAAACTAAAGGATCAAAAAATTAAAAAATCGACAATTTTTAAATTGAAAAATTGCAAAATCCAAATATAGAAAAAAAAATGAAAAATTATAGGAACGGAAAACTGAAATCATCAAAATTGAAAAAAACAAAATTTTACAATTGACACAATAAAAAATCGAATAATTGAAAAATTAAAAACTGAAAACACTACAAAGAAATCGAAGAATTACAAAATCTAAAAATTGAAAAATTCAAAAGTTGAAAATTTGAAAAATCATGAAACTGAAACATCTAAATTTGAAAAAAATTAAAATTTGAAAGTTGAAAAGTCCAAAAATTATAAAATTAAGAACTAAAAACTCGAGAATTTGCAAATTGAAAAATTAAAATCTAAAAATAGAAAAATTCGAAAATTGGAAAATTGAAAATTCATAAAATTGAAGAAATGAAAAATTAAAAAATTTGAAAGTTGAAAAATCGAAAATTTAAACCAAAAAATTGAAAAAATGAAAAACTAAACGGTCAAAAAATGAAAAAATCGAGAATTTTTAAATCGAAAAATTGCAAAAACCAAATGTTGAAAAAAAAAATGAAAAATTGAAGGAACGGAAAACTGACAACATTAAAATTGAAAAAAACAAAATTTTACAGTTGAAACAATAAAAAATCGAATAATTAAAAAATTAAAAATTGAATACACACTACAAAAAAAAAACAAGTTACATAACCACATTTTAAAGTCATCGTAATCGTGGTAAACCTTAAGCAAAATCTATTCTTTATCTCCCTCCCAAAAAAAAAATGATGACGTCATTTAAAAAATTTTGCCGAATTTTGCAAATTTTCGATATTACAATTTTTCGTTTTTACATTATCATAATTTTTTGATATCACAATTTTTCGTGTTTTAATTTTCTTAGTTGTTTAGCTTTTTCGATTTTTCAGTGTTTCGGATTTATAATTTTTGTTTTTTCAACCTTAATTTTCTTCAATTTCTCGACTTTCAAAATTTTCAGTTTTTTTGTTTTTCCATTTTCTTTAATTTTTCAATTTTTTCATTTTTCAATTGTTTAATTTCTCAACTTCCAAATTTTTCAATTTTCCGTGTCTTGAATTTTTCGATTTCAGTTTCTTATTTTTTGATCTTTTGATTTTTCAGTTTCTTAGTTTTTAATCTTTCGATTTTCCAGTTTTTAAATTTTTAGGTTTGTCAATTTTTGGAATTCACAATATATCGTTTCGATTTTGCATTTTTCGAATTTTTAGTTTCCCAATTTTTAATTTTTCGTTTCTTCAAATTTTCAACTTCTTTATTTCCAATTTTCAGATTTTTCAGTGTTCATTTTATAGTTTTTCGTTTTTTTTTTCATTTTTGTTTTTTGAATTTTACAATTTTTCACTTTTTTAATTCGAAAAGTTGAAAAACCGAAATAATAAAAATTTGCGAAGTTGAAAAAGAGGAAATCGTATAATTGCAAATCGAAGAGCCCAAGAAAGATAAGATTGAAACATTGAAAAGCTAAAAATCGAGAAACTTAAAAATTGAAAAAAAAACAAATCGAAAAATTACAAAGTCGTCAAAATTGTATCATTGAAAATTCGAACAACTGAAAAATTAATATGGACAAATTGAAAAATTAAAAATCGATAAGTAAAAAAATCCTATAACCGTAAAAATTTTTAAATCTTGAAGTGAAAAATTTTAATAGCAAAACTGAAAAATCGAGAAGCTAAAAAATGTAAAATTGAGAAAACAAAAAATTAAAAAATCTAAAATCGGAAAATAGCGTATTGAAAAAGAGAGAAATTGTAATAAAATCAAAAAAATGGAAAAATTGAAAAAATAAGGAAAATGAAAAACTGAACGAAAAATTGCAAATCGAAAATTTGAAGAAAAGGAAAATTTTAAAAAGTGATCGAAAAAATCTTAATTTACAAAATTTGGAATTTTGAAAAATCGAATAAATAAAAAAAAATTAAAATCCAATATTAATTGAAAAACGAAAAAACTCCAAAGTCGTAAAATTGAAAATGTTAAATATTTTAATAATAATAATTAATATTACATATTTAAAACGAAAAGAAGAAAAATGGAAAACCGAAAAATTGCAAATCGAAAAATTATAAAATCATAGCTGGAAAATTTTAAAATGAAAACTCAAAGGGTGCAAACCGTAAAATTGAAGAAACAAAAAAAAATAAAATTTGAAGATATGCAAATCGGAAACTTGAAAAATGAAAAATCAAAAAATGGAGTAAATGGAAAAATTTTAAAATCTAGTTATTAAAAAAAACGGAAAAAGTCTAAAATCGTAAAATTCCAAAAGTGAAATATTTTAATAACAATGATTATTTTTACATATTTAAAATGAAAAGAAGAAAAATTGCAAATCAAGAATTGAAGAAACTAAAAATTAAAAAATTCGAAAGTGGAAAAATCGAAAATTGAAAACCGAAAAATTGAAGAAATGGAAAACCAAAGGATCAAAAAATTAAAAAATCGACAATTTTTAAATTGAAAAATTGCAAAATCCAAATATAGAAAAAAAATGAAAAATTATAGGAACGGAAAACTGAAAACATCAAAATTGAAAAAAACAAAATTTTACAATTGACACAATAAAAAATCGAATAATTGAAAAATTAAAAACTGAAAACACTACAAAGAAATCGAAGAATTACAAAATCTAAAAATTGAAAAATTCAAAAGTTGAAAATTTGAAAAATCATGAAACTGAAACATCTAAATTTGAAAAAAATTAAAATTTGAAAGTTGAAAAGTCCAAAAATTATAAAATTAAGAACTAAAAACTCGAGAATTTGCAAATTGAAAAATTAAAGTCTAAAAATAGAAAAATTCGAAAATTGGAAAATTGAAAATTCATAAAATTGAAGAAATGAAAAATTAAAAAATTTGAAAGTTGAAAAATCGAAAATTTAAACCAAAAAATTGAAAAAATGAAACTAAACGGTCAAAAAATGAAAAAATCGAGAATTTTTAAATCGAAAAATTGCAAAAACCAAATGTTGAAAAAAAATGAAAAATTGAAAGAACGGAAAACTGACAACATTAAAATTGAAAAAAACAAAATTTTACAGTTGAAACAATAAAAAATCGAATAATTGAAAAATTAAAAATTGAATACACACTACAAAAAAAAAACAAGTTACATAACCACATTTTAAAGTCATCGTAATCGTGGTAAACCTTAAGCAAAATCTATTCTTTATCTCCCTCCCAAAAAAAAAAATGATGACGTCATTTCAAAATTTTGCCGAATTTTGCAAATTTTCGATATTACAATTTTTCGTTTTTACATTATCATAATTTTTTGATATCACAATTTTTCGTGTTTTAATTTTCTTAGTTGT